TCTGTTTTCTGTTGTTTACCTTTATGTTGTTATCTTTATTGTTGTTATCTTTATGATTGTGTGTAATGCTGCAATGTCCGTTAGTCTGTCCTTCTGTGCTATTCTTTATGTTTTAACCAAGTGTCTTAAGTTTTTAAAAGCGCTTATAAATAAAATGCACTATTATTATTATTATTATTATGTCGATATCTTTCTTATATGTATCTTCAATCTTTATGGATAGAAATAGATATGCACACATTATTGCATTGAGCGGTTATAAAACACTTGTCATAAAGATTTATAATGAAGACAAGTTTTCTTTTTTTTACAGTTGAACAAAAGCATTTATGGAAATAAACAATTATTAAAAAACAATATAAAATAAATAATGAACTTAAATTGAATAAACCTAGTTATATCAGCATATCAGAGATAAAATTAGTACCGATCGGCTGACAGATTTATTGATCGGGCTCGACTATAAGCTCTCAATGACGACAGCCAGTAGGGGAGAGTGGGGTAACTTGTGCCAAGGGGCAAGTAGTGCCACCCCTGTTATCTAGAAAACCATAGAAGAAGTTGGTCATGTGACCACATATTTTTGAAGAGGCATCCATTTCACTCATCCTGCAAAGAAGGGAGACACATGGCTTGAGAGGTAAGCACATATAAGTTCCCAAAAAATGTTTTTGCCCTCCAAAGTAAAATTTCTATGATCAAGGTTTTTTGATTGGCTGTGTTTGAACAATTATATACAACTTTGAAAACAGTTCACACATGTTTAAGTGCTTTAGTAAGCTACACCATGAGTCTATACAGTTAGCATGATGCTAGCTCAAAGCAGCTGGGGGATACATTTTTTCAAAATAATGGTTGGGTTAATTTGTGCAAGTGGCACAACTTAACTTATGATTATTTACTATATATTACTTTATTGTATTTTATTGTTATTGTACATTGTATTCTTACTTTCATTGTATTCTGACATTCTTAATTTTAGACCAAAATCCATCATGCCAAGTATGTTAAAACTGCTTTAAACTTCTCTGATCATCAGCACTACCTTTTATCTCATTTCAGGTACAGCTTCCCTCCACACATGATGTACAACATGGATGAAACTGGTGTGATGACAGTGTAGACACCCAGCAGGTTGTCAGAGAGAAAGGGAAGAAACAAGTGGGTTCAGTAACATCTGCTGAAAGAGGAGAGCTTGTCACTGTGGCCTGTGCAATAAACGCCACTGGAAATGCAGTCCCACCCATGTTCTTTTTCAAGGACAGCCTTATGAACGCATCACCAGCAGGTTCCATTGGTCATTGTACAAAGTCTGGATGGATGAAGATGCCTTCCTCATCTTCCTGGAGCACGTCATCCGCCACACCAACTGCTCCACCGATCACCCAGTCCTGCTCATTCTGGACAACCATGAGTCTCACATCTCACTCAAGTCAGTGACAATTGCTAAAGAGAATGGGGTCATTATGCTCACCCTGCCACCTCACACCTCACACCTCACACCGCTTGCAACCATTAGACAAAACTGTCTATGGACCACTCAAAACCTACTATAACCGAGCGATGGATGGGTAGATGTGATCGCATCCTGGGCGAACCGTATCGATCTACGAGGTCCCGGAACTTGTGAAGCAAGCGTTCCTCTCTGCAATGTCACCAACAAACATAACCTCAGGTTTCAGAGCAACGGGCATATACCCTTTCAACAGGGACATCTTCCCGGAAGAAGACTATGCACCATCAATGGTGACAGACAGGGCAAATCCAGAAGATGAACCCAGTGCCACTGCTGACCTGCCTGGAGAAGAGCCCTCCACCAGTGCAGCTGCTCACCTGCCTGGACCATCGCATGAGCCAACACATGTCACAGGTATTTAAAAAAAAGTCTGGTAGGCCAATAGTGGCGGTGCGCATAGTGGCGTGGCTCAGGCTTACCCTCCATCTGACCACGCAATCTTGTTGTTCCCTGTGTTCAATGACAATAAAAGTTCCTTTCCTTTCCTTGAAGCAGGTCCAGACCCAGGAGAGCCACCTGCCACTCTGCCAAATCCCGAGCATTCATCAAGTGACAAATCTGGTTCTTCTGCTCACTTGGGTTATGTGTTTCCAGAAGTCATTGTTCCCTTGCCAAAAGCCACAGAAAGAAAGAACAGAATTGTAAGAAAGAAAGTGAAAACAAGAATCGTGACCGACACACCTGAGAAGATGGAGTTGGAGAAGGCTAAAAAGGAGATAAGAAGATAAGAAGATAAAAAGGCTGAACAGGAAAAGAAAAGAATGAAAGAGAGAAGAAAAGGGCTCTGAAAGCTGCAAATCAAACCAAAACCAAGAAGGAAACGGTTGTGTACAGTAGCTCGGAAGAAAGCTCCACCACCGATGATGAGGCAGAAGATGGCCTGGAGAAGACACACGGCAGAAGAAAAGGAGTGGAAATAAGAAGGGGGCTCTGAAAGGGTGAAAACCAACCAAACCCAAGAAGAAAGTGCTCTCCAGTAGCTCAGAAGAGAGTGACTTTCCGATTCCATTTAGCGATGCCACTGATTTTGAGAGTTCAGATATCCAGAGTGATGATGATGATGGTGACAAGGATCTGTCTGCTGGTGACTTTGTCATTGTGAAGTTTGCAGGTAAGAAATCAAAATCCTATAACTATGTTGGATTGGTAGAGAATGTTGGAGGTGACGAGATCAGTGCAAAGTTTCTGAAGGAAAGTTGTAAGAGGTCTGTTGATGGAAAGCCCATCTTCACATTTAGAGAGAATGGTGAAGTAGTCATCCCTAGGGGTGATATGCTCAAGAAACTATCCACACCACAGAAACTTGGTGGTACAGCCAGAAGGGAGCATAAGTTCACATTCCCCTGCAGCATTGTCAAGTGGGATGTTCAGTAGTAGGCTGAATCTGTGAAGAGATTCAGATGCAGATGATTTGCAGATGCTTAGGTGCTCATTTTGGAATTTGTATTTTGTTCTGAGTATGTGTTCATACTATGAGTATGTCTGATGTTGTTAAAACTTTAAATAAACGTTAAATAAGTAATTTTGTATTGAATTTGTCTTGCTTTTTTATAGCATTATCGTTTGTGAGATTAAAATGATCTGTTTTACTTAAATTATCAATGGCACAATTTACCCCAGTGTATTCTCTCTAATGGCACAACTTACCCCGCACTGGGGGCAAGTTGTGCCACAAAACCAGCTATATTTCTCAAACAGTTTATTTAATATCCAAAGTGATTGTTCCCAGGGATGCACAGCATCTTAAACTTAAATGTACATATTTTAGTTGGAGGCATTACTGTAATCCCCTTGCTTTAAAGGCACTTTTAAGTAAAAATTGGCACAACTTACCCCACTCTCCCTATGCTACTAATGAACATGCTAATAAGCAACTGGCTAATGGTGATTATTGTGACCTTAATTTAAAGTGTTACCGATGCTACAAACCCCTAGTAGCTTTCTTTGCATTTTAATTTGGAACATTTCCTTTTTTTAGGTTTAAAGTGTGACCCTGAAACATTTAGAAGATCCTGTGTGTTGCTGCTCTGTTGAGTTAGTTTGTAAAGTTTGTAAAGTTAAACAAAAAGTGTTAACTAATTTTCAGTAGAAATAATAAAATAATCATTTAGAGCTAGCTAGACAATATCCTCTGGGCCCGTTTGTTCAAAGTTAATCCAACAGGATTAAAGTTATCAGATGAGTTTTTCATGAATCTAAAATCTGGTTGTTCAAAAAAACAAAACAAAAATAACGGGATAATTGTATAAGATCAGGTTTGGATAATCAAAGTTGTTCTTTCTTTTCTTTCCCATCAAATCAGAAACAACCATGTACAACAATGAAGAGATCCGGATCGTGATGGTGGGGAAGACCGGAGCTGGGAAGAGTGCAGCAGGAAACACCATCCTGGGACACAACTGCTTTAAATCTGTTTTCTCCCCTGAATCTGTGACCACAGACTGCGCTAAGTCGTATGGTGAGCTGGATAGACAGAAGGTTTCTGTCATCGACACTCCAGGTCTGTTTGACACCAATACAGATGAAGAGACGACACGTAAAAATATCTCCCAGTGTATGGCTTATGCTTCTCCTGGACCACATATCTTTCTGATTATCATCAAACTGGGCCGAATCACAGAAGAAGAAAAGAAGACGGTGGAGAAGATTCAGAAAATCTTTGGAAAGTCAGCAGACAAATACAGCATGGTTCTCTTTACCCATGGTGACCAGCTCAGTGGGACTATCGAGGAGTTCTTGAAGGAAAGCAAAGACCTGCAGAAGCTTGTGGCCAAATGTAACGACCAGTACCACGTCTTTGATAACAAGCTGTCTGATAGTTCTCAGACCAGAGAGCTCCTCAACAAGATCAGAAAAATAACAGAAAAGAACACAGGAAACCATTACACCACTGAGATGTTTCAGGAGGCAGAGAGGGCGATTGAAGAGGAGAAACAGAGAATCCTGAAAGAGAAAGAAGAGGAAATGAGGAAAGAGAGGAAGGAACTAATGAGGAAAATAGTGGAAAAATTTGAGCAAAGGATAAAGGAAGCAAAGGAAGACGCGGAGAAGGAGAAACAGCGAATCCTGAAAGAGACTGAAAAGCAAAAGTGCAAAGAGGAGGAACTAAAGAGGAAAATAAAAGAAAAACATGAGAAAGAACTAAAGGAAGCAGAGGAAGACACTAAGAAGGAGAAACAGCGAATCCAGAAAGAGAAAGAAGAGCAAAAGTGCAAATTGAAGGAGGAACTGGAGAGGGAAATAAAAGAAAAACATGAGAAAGAATTAAAAGAAGCGAAGGAAGAGATGGAAAAAGAACTAAAAGAGAAAATGAAAGCACTGGAGGAAGAACAGGAAGAGAAGGCTAGAAGAGAGGCAGAGAAGAGCTCTTCAGTGCTCGCAAAGGTTGGTCGTGGACTTGCAGCTGTGGGGGCTGCTGCGGCTAGGTTGGTTGCGGGGGCTGTGGCGATATTTAAAAAATAACTACAGCTCATTGTATCCGACCTGATGTACATTATAATGTCAGTGTTTGAAACTGATCTGTTGTTTCTCAAATTACTCTCGCCTTTTCTTTTAGACATATTTTGAACACAAAACTAAAAGACTAAAGGGACTTTCAGACAGGACGCGGTGGGGCTACGCGCTGCTGTCAAGCCCATTCATTGTCTATGTGTAGCTCCGCACAAGAGCGTATCTGCACTCGGCCGAGCTGAGCTCAGCACAAGGTCTTGTTTGCCAGTTGGACCAATAGTATCTGTCTGCAGTCTGCAAGACCCAATTTCAAATATCTTTATTTATCTGTTAGGAACTTCAGTTGTGTAAAAAAAGCATCAGTGTGCATACAGCTCAGCACAACAAAACAAACAAACAAAAGAACACACACACATACAAGTGGCTGTATTAAAAGCATGACAATTGTTATGAAAGGTTAAAAGAGTGGTGTTAAAAATAAATGAACAAATGGATCAGCCATTCATGAGCCTGATGGATGTGGGCACGAAGCTTGAAATGGCTCTCTTAGTTCTGAAAGTTTGAGATCTGTGTCATCGGTATCTTCTGCCCACTACAATCTTCTAAATGGTGTTTGACCCTGCTGAGGCCGTGTGGCTCGCTTTACTTTGGTTCACCTTCTATTGTTATCATTTCAAACACATAAACTAAGAACATTTTTGAAACACATGACTCACATAAGTGCCTCCAACCAAAGCCGTAGTATCCTCAAGGTATAGAGAAGAAGCCCTGCAGCCCGTCTATGCAGATGGTTGGATGGAGCGGAGAGGAAATTAAAAAAAGGACGATTTTTATTTTCATCCACAAAATGTCATCAAAAATATAAAAGTTGTGAAAGTATGTAATAAACCCAAGTAATTTCAGTAAGGAGACATAATTCTCTATGAATATTTAAAGTTGCATGTCACATATGATACTTATTTAAACTATCATCTCCGTGCTCTTAAATTACCCTTTTTTAACAGTTGGTAGATAAATAAAATAAACATTGTTTAAATAAAATCCACATCGTTTGCTTTAAAAGAAAGCTTATCAACTCTGGTAGTGAAATAACCCTGGTATTACTAACGTATATTTAACTAAATATAAGTTGTCTAAGGAAAATACTCTTGTGTCTGTACTCAAGCCAAAATTTTGCCCACAACTTCTGTGTTTCTTTGGCGGCCAAAATCATCGTTTTAGACATCTCACGTGGTCTCTGCTGAGATTTGGATAGGTACACGTTCCCCCCCTCTCTTGCAGCCTGCAGACAGACCCCTCTCAATAGGAGGGAAGATCAGATCACAACAAACGGGGTCCCAGAGAGAGCTCTCTTATGTAAAGACCTGTCCGACAGTTTTGGCGTACCAGCTGTGTTTAAAACAGCAGCATTAGCTGAAATGTTAACGTGCTTGTGAAGCGGTCGTCATAGAGCTGCATTTCCTGGACGAGACTAAACTCTCCCAAATCCTGTTGTGCCCTGAGGATCTCATGAACACACACCCTCTCCTCCTGTGCTGCTAGCTCCTGTCACGGCTCTGGCTGTGATCCTGTTTCTCTGTGTATCCCTTGTGTCCCCTCCCCCTCTGTCTGTCTGTCTGTGTGTGTGTGTGTGTGTGTGTGTGTGTGTGTGTGTGTGTGTGTGTGTGTGTGTGTGTGTGTCTCTGGAGGGCGTGGCTTCAATCAAACACCTGGTGACCACTCACACCTGCAACTCATCTGCTTATCTGCCTCAGACTAAGACCCAGGGTTCAACTCGACTCATTGCCAGATTATTGAGTCTACTGAAGTGGTAGCTATGATCGGCTGCTCTTAACATTTGTTAGAGTTTATTCCAAGTGTTTTTCCAGTGAGTCCTAACAGATTTTCTCTCTTGTTGTCCAGATTTTCACCGGTGTCATCTCCTCCAGTCTGCTCTCCTCTCAGACAACTCAACCAATTACCTGTCTGCCTACGGAACCAGCTAACTCCATAAGACTCCTCCACGCCGTCACTACCAGCCAGCCAGTCAGCCATTCACTGATACCTAGCCCTGCAATAAAACCTCAAACCCTTCAATTTTGCTGCCGTGTCTGCTTTTGGGTCTAAATACAAACCGTAACAGCTCCTCCTCCTCCTCAGTTAAAGATCAGAGTTTTCTACTGAATAGTGAACAGATACAAACACACTGTGCACCAAAAAGTAACTATTTTCCCGACTAATGTTTCTGTAACCTAGCAATGTGCACCGTTGCTTTTCGCTTGTGTGCGCTCCCCTTCTGCTCTGCGCCCTACTCCATGGGAGTGCAGCACACACAGCTTCCTATCTGACAGGCAAGTGCAAACAAACAGCTTTAAGTCAAATCAGACACACAGGTGATGACAGGAAGTGACCAGAGGCAGTGCACCTTTTAAAAAAATAAAGTAAATATGTCGTCATCAACAACATCAACAGCTGCTCATGAGAGTTTGAATCAGAATCAAAACCATCCTAAACATCATCATCATCATCATCATCATCATCATCAAGGTGTTCATGAAGAGCTTTTTCTTAAAGGTACAAAGGGTCTCTGCAGATCGACATTAAATGGTTTTTATTTGACACATGAATTAAAAATATATATATAATACAAAATGGGTTTTAATCTCCTTGTGATCTTAAGTATCAAAGTTTTAAAGTCTGTAACAATGTTTTTACAATCAAATGTACTTTCATGAAATCAAAGTCGTCTTTTCAAGAAAGATTGAATCACAGCTGAGAGGATTTGTTTTCAGTGTCAGATGTTTCAGGTTGGCTTCTATGTTAGAAAAGTCCTTCAATTTTCTCTGAATACTTGTAAAGCAAACTGCATCATCCAAATGTGCTTTAATGTGATTTTTTGCTTCTTCATTTTAATAAAATGTTGTAACAGAGTCTGTAGTTTTATTTGTGAACAAAGAGAGACATGAGACTAGAATTCAGGTTGATCAAGAAGATTCATTAAATTACAAGTTTCACAGAGCAAAATAAAAAAACAGTTTTGATTTTTAATTGTATATATTTAGTTCATAAAGTAGAAAATCATACCATAAAATATTTTAGACTCTTTAATGTCAGAAGTAGATATGATAATGGGGACAGTAAGGGGTTAATAAATGATCCTCTATGATGAGTTGTTAATATTTGACTGATCAGTCTATTGTCACACTGAGCTGTTACTGCTAATACTACACATACTTTTACCATTATTACTGACACTGTAGCTTTAAATCTATTTTATTCATTGTTGTTGTTGTTTCTGTTTGTCTCTCTCCTTCCTGAATCTCCCTCTATCACACTTTCCAACCCGGACACAGTTTCATCAGACGGCTGTTCATCATGAGTCTGGATCTGCTCGAGGTTTCTTCCTCTTAAAATAAGTTTTTCCTCTCCACTGTAACTTTGCTAAATGTTGCTTAGTGCTCATGATGGATTAATGTTGGGTCTTTGTAACTAAATATAACAAAGAGTAAGGTCTTAATCTGCTCTTTCTGTGAAGTGTCTTGAGATCACATTTATTATGAATTAGCGCCATACAAATAATGTCTGATTGATTGATCGTGTATGTGCACAATTTGATTTCACCGCTGCATTTGGGGCGCCAGGGAAAAACATCTGGATTCGGCCCCTGCTTGTTAAACTAACATTCTTGCAAGCAAGGTCGCTGTTTCTGCTGAGAAAGTCACTGTCTGGTTTCATAGCTGCAAAAAGCATTTCCCATTCAGACAGACAATTTCTAACAAACATAGAGAAAACTGAAGATAGAAATGAAAGCTCATGGTCACAAATACATTACTGACAGTATTAACATGATTAAAATAGTAAAGTAAGAAGAAATTATGGTAAATCATTGAAAGTGGAAACATTAACCCTGTTAAAAAAAGCTTGTGTGTATTCTTTTAACCATTGTGTCATTGTTCTAATATGTGGTTTTAATAAATAGTCTACCATGAAGCTGCAGCCCAGTGTTATTTTGCAATATTACCACTATTTTACAAACAGCCCTCTCTCAGTTATAGACTCTATCTGTTGAGTGTGAATGAGTCAACTGGAGAGAAGTGAATGGAAAAGCAATTACTACACTAGTTACAGGCTTTTAAAAGTTGACAGAGAAATACATTTTTACCATTTATTAGAAGCATATATTAGAGCAATAACACAATGGTTAGTAGAACTGATCAGAATAAACACACCTGTTACGGTGGCCTGTAGTTAACAGAGGGATCATTTAGTGAATAATCTACATTAATGATTCCACTTGCCTTCATTTGCCATAATTTGTTCTTATTTGACTATTTTATTGGTGTTAATACTGTCAGTAATGTATTTGTGACCATGAGCTTTTAGCTTGTGAGTACCATGAGCGCCCTCTGCTGGGGCCCCTGCAGACATGCGTGATGAGCCCCGTGCCCTGTTGCCAGGTTACACTCTCCGTGGTGAGTTGACTTATTAAGAGCTCCGCTAAAAAACGATGAAATAAGTCAGTTTTTCTGAGTAAAAGTAAGTTTTATTAATGTGCCATGTTTCAGAGATCCTCTTAAAATAATTATCAAAGACTTTTGTGGTGATATTGATTTGTTTTAGTTGAGTTATTTCAACTCTCCATGTTTTTATGCTTTTCTAGCTGAGTTTCAGCTTCATCATTTGTTGTCGTGGTGTAGCTGACTTCACCAACAGTTAGCTTGATTTTCTGCTCTCTGTTTAAGTAAATACTGAAGCTTACTACCAAAGAAGTGGCTGTGACAGAGACCTACATTTTATATACACGTTAAATGTTTGTCCTGTCTGCATTATCCTGTCCCTGTGTGAATGTTAGAGCTGTTAACCACCAAAGTGTCTGTGTGAGCGTGCTCATCTTTCTTCTGTTATTATCAGAATAAACGGCTGCTGGTGCCAAAAGTGAGTTTTTATACCTGGTTCATCACAACACAATGGTGAGTACACAACCAGTACACTTTGTATTTAAAAAAGAAAAGAAAAGAAAAGAAACTAAATGCTTTTGGTAGAAATACACTTTTGTTGAAATGACGTACATCAGGGAGTAAGAACAACACAAACGAGCATCAAGAGGAGGAAACAATGTCAGTAAGAGATAATGAACGGCTTTAAGTCCGATCGGACACACAGGTGCTGACAGGAAGTGCACAGAGGCAAAGCACATTTTATTAAATCCATATATGTCGTCACGATCATCAAAAGCATCAACGTCTCCTGACACATCTCCTTTATGGTTTGTCTCACACGCAGCTCCAGGAATTCTTTCACTGATCCTGAAGAAAATACAAGAGTTTCTTTTCCATTCACCGTATTCTAAGATATTTCTCTAAACATTAACGACACCATCTGTGCTGTGCTTTGGTCAAAATAAAACATGAATCAAGCCCCAGAGCAGGTTTGTGACCCTGTATAAACCAGCTCTCTCAGAACGCTCTGTGTGGGTGGAGATATGAGGGGAGGGTATTGTTTTACCTGAATCCAACTTGTGATGTCACAAGGAGAGAAATTTGAAACGGGAATTTTTGTCTGTGTTGTAAGACTTATGCAGACCACAATCAAAGGACTGGATGGGTTTATTTCACATTTTGTGGGTCGGTAGACACTCAGGTTACCCAAGTGGATTTTTCATAATATGTCCCCTTCAAGAGGAAGAAACCTCGAGCAGATCCAGACTCATGATGAACAGCCGTCTGATGACACTGTGTCCAAGCTGGAAAGTGTGATAGAGGGAGATTCAGGAAGAAGAGAGACAAACAGAGCAACAACAACAACAATGAATAAAATAGATTTAAAGCTACAGTGTCAGTAATAATGGTAAAAGTATGTGTAGTATTAGCAGTAACAGCTCAGTGTGATAATAGACTGATCAGTCAAATATCAACAACTGTAATGATGAAACGAGGAGGACTGATTATATTCATCATAGAGGATCATTTATTAACCCCTTACTGTCCCCATTATCATATCTACTTCTGACATTAAAGAGTCTAAAATATGTTATGGTATGATTTTCAACTTTATAAAGTAAATATATACGATTAAAAAACAAAACACATTAAAAAAAAGTTTTTTGTTTCTTTGCTCTGTGAAACTTGTCATTTATTGCACATTTCAAGTTTACTTTTTCTTTAAATTTTATTTTATTTACCATTTTGTTTTGTACCTTTTGCACTATTTAGAATTTATTACTGTAAATATTGTTTATCTTATTTTACCTTATTTTATTTTATCTTATTTTACTTTATTTTGGTTGTATTGCACCGCGGGACGGAGACAAACACAATTTCAATTCCACTGTATGTCTGGCATATTTTGAAATTGACAATAAAGTTGACTTTGACTTCTTGACTTCAATGAATCCTCTTGATCAACCTGAATTCTAGTCTCACGTCTCTCTTTGTTCACAAATAAAACTACAGACTCTGTTACAACATTTTATTAAAATGAAGAAGCAAAAAATCACATTAAAGCACATTTGGATGATGCAGTTTGCTTTACAAGTATTCAGAGAAAATTGAAGTAGAGCAGACAGGGACGCTGTGGGGGAAGGAGCGGCTGAGGCAGAGTGCAAACAGGAAATTTGTGGTGGCAGCCGCAGCTTTTGCAGCTGCATCTGCACGAGCATTACCCAGAGAAACTTGGTCACGGGAGGAGGTGTGAGCAGCACATTTGCAAACAGCAATGCTGGAAGGTAACAAAATGGCTTCCAACAGGGCAGCTACCTTGTGGTGGTGTAAGATGGGTTTACCGTCAGATTTGAGGAACTTGAGATGTTTCCAGAGTGCGCCAAAGTCACGCACAACGCCAAAGGCGTAGCAAGCGAGAATGGTGACAGATTTGCCTTTAGCCAGTTTGCATGCCTCAGTCAGAGCCACCAGTTCTGCTGCCTGTGCAGAGTAATGAGAAGGCAGAGGAGAGGAACAAACAACAGAAACATCATCTACTACAGAGAAACAGGCGTGGGCAGTGGACGGTATCCTTATAACCAGAACCGTTAACATAGAAACTTAGGTTAGGGTTAATGAGAGGAACGTTGTAGCATGTCCTGAACATGCAAAAAGGGGTGAATAACTTTACTATAGCTAACGGGAGCTCAACACACATTAGTTAACTAATTATTGAACTAAATGAGAGCTCACTCCCTACCAACCTGCTAGTCTCTCTTTCCTAGTGGAAGGAGCTATGTAAAATGACTCCTCTAACACCGTTTGGAGGACAGATGAACAAGTTAAAATCACAGCTCCAGGATTATCTGCCTAACATTCATTTCTAGAATAATTAGATTCAAGGATAACCCCTGGTATAGGACTCTAGATTACCCCCCCAGAGAGGGAATAACTGTGAACTCCCCTCACTAGGATGTTAGGTGTGTATGAAGTGTGTAATATAAATCAGTAAGACAAGTGTGCCGTGGTGTGACTGCTCACTACTTACCTTCCGAGGTTCACGGGGTCTTTAAGGGGAACTTCCAGTCTTTGTGGTGTAAATGATTTCAGTCAGAAAATGATTTCAAAAAGTTTCCGAAAATGTATAAAAACATTTCAAATGATATTCCAAATGCAAATACAAAACAGTAAAAGAAAAATATAAAAAATGGAAAAGGAAAACAAAACTCAAAGACCAAAGTCTAAACCTGTGAGTGTAGACACTTGAAGTTTTAAAAGATCTTGGCTCAGAGACTAAGTCCCAAAATGGGATTTCAAAAGTCAGAGTGACGTGGATTCGTTTTGCAAGGCAAAAAAGAACCTCGATCAGATTTTCTACAGCGTTTTTATAGACAAAAAGTCTCTCTTTTTTCAAGATCCTGTAACACCTCAACAATGCACGTTCGCAGAAACATGATGCATACACAGGTCATGCCAAGTTCATGACATAGGTAATACCAAGTTCATATGTGGTTTCAGCTCGAAGACCGTGAACCGAGCAGATACTCAGAAACGCTACACGCCTACGAGCTCTGATGTGGTTTTGCTTCAATGTATGGCACACTTATCTTGACCTCACAGGAGTGTAGGCACTACGAGTGTGTGTAAGTTTAACAGGAAATGTTGAAAGCAGAAAAAGGTTATGACTTTATGACCTATGTATTAAATGATGAAAGAATTAAGTGATAATAAAAGAAAAAAACTAAAACAAATTCAACAATTGCATAACTCTTTCTGATCTTTCAACAACGTCTTTCAGGTCTGGTCTTGGGGTACGGGTGAGCTGGAGTCCTGCAAGGCCAGGTAGAGGCATAAGGGTGGCAGGGTTAAGTACAGTCTCATCAACAAATTGTGTAAATGGCTTTTCTGGATCTGGGATGCCCAAGGTGGACTGCAAGGACAGTTTAAGGTTTTCAAACGCAGTGTTTGCCTCCTCAGTCCACTGATCGGGGCTGGAATCTGTCAGGTCTCTTTTGTGTGCGATGTCTCTCAGTGGTTGCTCCGTCTCGGAGAAGTTAGGAATAAAATGTTGGCAGTAAGAACACATGCCTAGGAAAGAAAGAACTTGTTTTTTAGTCATAGGTTTAGGTGTATCAGCCACAGCCTTAACCCGGGAGGGAGAAAGAGATTGGCCCTTTGGTGTGAGGATATGACCTAAGGTCACTTCCTGTTTTACAAACTGTAGTTTAGACAGGGATGCTTTATGGCCCTCCTCCATGAGATGGTGCAGGAGGAGGATGGTGTCTGTCTCACACTGCTCCTTTGTTGGGGCTGTGATGAGGAGGTCATCGACGTACTGCAGGAAGACTGAACCTGGGGAGAGTGTGACAGAAGAAAGACTGCGAGACAGTGCTTGACAGAAGAGGGTGGGGCTGCAGGTCAGCCCTTGGCACAAACGTGTCCACAAAACGCTTTCCTCCGAACTGGAAAGCAAACCAAAACTGGGAGTCTTTCTGAACGGGGATAGAGAAGAAAGCATTAGACTACTAGGTCCACAATGGAAAACCATTTAGCAGGAGATCTGGCTGAGAATGGTGTATGGATTGGGAACATTAGGAGCGTGATCTAGAAACACAGTTAAGCAGTGAGTACAGTATGTTATTCTTATTTTCTCTAGTCCCTCAATTAAACAACTTTTATACACGAGGGGAGGAGTCAGCCGGCCGTCCCGGCGATGTAAACAAACTGAAGATAGGACTCTGAAAACTCTGAAAACATCACAGACAGTGGGACTCGGGTGTTACACCCATTGTAGACAGTCATGACTCACACAGTTATTTTCAGAGGAGATACTTGATTTCTATTATATTTATGTGTGAAAAATCACTAAAGCCTTTAAAGACTACACTTCATGTTGGTGTCACAAGATCACAGACTGTCATACCAACTTCATCATTGCTGAAAATGTCCTGGAAAAGTCCTGGAAAAGGATCTATGGAAAAGAGTGGGAACCCTGAAGTCAGTGTGACTGAGGTTATGTACGGTCACAAATAAACAGCATAAGTAAGCACAGTATTTTTCCACTACATGTCTGACTGACAACCCCCCCTCCTAGAGTGATTAGTAAGGCTTGTCATGACTATTCATGGACATATCATATGATATTTTACTATCTGTTTATTAAACGTTTGTGTCTATCTTCACATAAGATCATGTTGTCATGTCCAATAAGGGGAGGGCTAAGGCAGTTTGGTTTCACCTCCTCGAAACGTAGTCACTTCTTGTAAATGCTGCTGGGAGGGGTGAACAGGATGAGGCTCCGTGCAGGTATAAGGAAGTGTTTCCACTGACAGACTAAAAACTTTTCTTCTTCAGCTTAGAAACACACCAGCTACTCTCTCCAACACCCAAATATGGCTGTCAGTAAAGGTAAGTCAGTATATGTAATTTATAAGGTAACATACACCTTGTATCTGTTGGCGTTTTGAAGACCTCATACGTGGGCACAAACTATGTTTGGGTTTTAATGTAGTCAACTTCGCTATTAAATTAATATGAATAATTTGTATTAATATTACTTACCAAAACTATTAATCTGAATGAATAACAACGGGACACCACCCTGGATGGGTTCCCTCAGTCAACAATAACCAAATAGCACAGAGTCAGTGTCAAATTTAATTGTTAAATACCAATATTATTCACATTTAATAAATATCTGTATTTAAATAAAAGGAATCCGTGAATCCGTACACTAGCCCTCACTCCACCCAGCTGTTATCACAATGATCATAACACCAGTAATCACAGAAAGCTGCTTTATTAGTAAGTAGCTTAAACCTTGTATCTGTTGGGGTTTTCAAGACTTCATACACTGGCACAAATTATGTTTGGCTTTTAAATTATAACAGAATTTAGTGTGTAGGTGTAACTTAAGTGGTTTTCCAAATACCCTCCTAATTACTGCTTATTGAGAGAAAGTTAAGAAGTTGTTGAACAGGAATTCTGATCTTGATATGCGTTGCTTAGTATGCCCTTATAAGGTAGAAGTGAGAAAAAGTATATTGAGGTCATATTTCACGTACAAGCTCAGGAAGTTCAACCTGCCCCAGAAGCTGCTGATCATGTTCTACACATCCATAATCCAGTCTGTTCTGTGCACCTCCATCACTGTCTGGTTTGGATCTACAACCAAACCGAACAGATACAGACTGCAACAGATGATCAGGACTGCAGAAAAAATCATTGGTGTCGACCTGCCCCCCATCCAGGACTTATCCGGTCCCGGGCTGGGAAACGGGCAGGTAGCAGACTCCTCACACCCCGGACACAAACTTTTCAAACTCCTCCCCTCCGGTAGGCGTTACAGATTCTTCCCCCAGGCTGTGACTCTGATGAATGCTAAACAGTCACAGAGTGTCAGACCTGTCACTGTGAATGTACATATACATATATATCATTTAATTTAAATTATCGATCTACGCACACTTATCATGTAAATACTGTAAAACTCTACCTCATGTAAATGAACCCATCTGTCACATAACTGCATTTTTTATTATCATGTCACTTCAGCCTTTTTGCACTACTCACAACTGAACTGTTTCTTATTTAGCCTTGTACATATTAGTCTTTGTGCTGCCTTTATTTTGAAGTCAGTAATTTGAATTAAGTTAAAAATGTTAGTCAATAAAAGTGGTCATAAAAAGTTAGATTTAAAAGATTAGAAACATTTTGACATTAGTTCATGGTTTATACTGCCATCTATTGGTCATTGTGGGTAGTTAGTTCATTAAGTCACATGCTGCAGTAAGAAGGACAGAGAGAGACAGAGGATGCATGTTGCTGCTGAATGGTTTTCTGTTACGCTTCTGCCTTGGAGACCATTTGTCTGTAAGTTTTATGTTCAGTTCATTATAAAAATGTTGAGATATGAACACAAAATTCAAGTCAGAAACTTTTAGTTGTTTTTGTCTTTCATGTGCTCTTAGCTAATGCTAAATGTAGTGGCTAACTGTTTTCCTCATGGTTATGATAGCATGTAGCTTTGTGTTGAATTAGCATTTTTATGCATTTCTGTGCTTGCTTGAATTTAGATAGCAATGCTTATACTTTGTAAATGTATACTTGTTATCTGTACTGAAATATTGTTATTCTCTTTGTAATATTGCAGTTTTACAAAAACAAAACAAAATGGAAGGAACTCATGTAAAATCAAGAAAAGACAAGCTTTGTGTTTTTATTGGAGGACTTTTGTTTCAGTGTTATCTGGCTGTCAAATCCTGTACATTGGAACGTGCAGAAAGGGCAGAACAGTCTTTGCTTATTGTGTTTATTGTTGATATTTAATGTTATACTTGTACATAGAGAGCAAAGTTCACCAGTTAAATTCCTTGTGTGTGTAAACATACCTGGCCAATAAAGGTGAATGTGATTCTGATTCAACTTCTTAACGTTCTCTTAATCAGCAGTATTTAGGAGGGTACTGAGGGCAAACTCTTAGTTAATGGCCTTGTAGCTATGAGTTATGGTCATATAGAGTAAGGTACTAAAAAGTAGAGCCTGACTGATATGTATTTTTGGGGAAGATGCCGATATCGTTTTTAGGGAGAAAACATTTCCGATATATCATATCTTTCAGAAGTTTCACAAGTTCCACTCGTTGCCTGCCGCTCGTTGCCTGCCGCTTGTTGCCTGCCAGCGACCACCGCGGACAAATCGGCGTTCTTTTTGTCTTCTTTTGACACAAGTTATACTTTGAACATACTAGTGACAATCAAACGGTAGCCTACGGCTGCTAGCACCGGCTAATTGTTTTTAGCATCGGATCCAACTCGCTAGCAGGGCTGCTAACATCTCCCCTCCCGACAACATGCACATTGTTTGTTGTGAAGGCTGCCTGACACTCTCACGCACTAGAGGAGAGGTTACCAACCTTCAAGAGAATATCCGCAGGCTTTCAGAGGGGCTTCAGAAGAAGGACCTGATGCTTTCCAGCTACATCGACTTGGCAGCCTCTCAGTCTAAGAGGATCACGGCTATGCACTCCGATATCTCAGATACCTTGCTGTGGGATCCTTTACGGCCCCGACACTCCTCCTGCTCGACCCCAAACCCTCGGGAGTCCTGGGCCGAGGTTTTGGTGAGCAGTGGAAAATGCAGTGGGAGACGAAGAGGTCCCATTAACCTCACCCGGATCATCGTCCTGCAGTGCCGAGTAATGATTTGTGAGGAGAAGCGGTGGGGGAGACCCAGATAGGTGTCTGTCCGAGCCCCCACCGATCCTGTCAGCTGCACACCTGAGTCTGCTAAGCCTGCCTCTGATGCAACCGTCACTGCCGCTGCCTCATTTTCTCCGAACATCACGGCTCCTTCCACATCCTCTGTAAAAGACGATGCTACCTCTGCCTCTTCTCCACCTGTTCTGGCACTCTCCTCTCCATCCTCTGCGGCGTCATCTTCACCTGTTGCCGCTCCTGCTGCTGTCTCCGTAGGACAACAAAGCCAACAATGGGGGAAGCTCTCCTCCCATAGCAGAAGGCTGCTGGTGGAAGCTGTAAACAGACGCTCTGGTGGACTCCCCCGCACTCAGCTGGAACGGTCCCCTTCACCGGAGCGTTCGCCTGCCCTGACCGCGCCTCCTCAGCCGGTGAGTCCACTCTGCCCTGACGTCACCAGACACGCACGGGTTTGCACTGTCGGCACTCAGGCTTCACCCCCTCGTCCACTTTTCTCACCTACCACTCTGATAATCGGCGACTCCATAATAAGGAATGTACGGTTTTTCAATGCCACCACTCTCTGCCTCCCTGGTGCTACTGTCCCCGTCATTTTAGAAAGGCTCCAGAAGACTTTGCCCTCTCTTCCCACCACCATCACTCGCCTTATCATAAATGTGGGCACAAACGACACCGCTCGACAACAGTCTGAACTGACCAAAGAGCACTTCAACCAACTTTTCAAGCTCTTAATACAAACTGGTAAATCCATTTTCATCTCCAGACCCACTGCGCCTCTGTCCAACGCCGCTCGTTTCAGCAGAACCCTCTACCTCCACCACTGGCTGCAGTCCACCTGCAGGGCTCACGATGTGGCCTTCATTGACAATTTCAATCTGCTCTGGAACCGCTACTCTCTTTTTAAAGCTGACGGACTTCACCCAAACAAAGCCGGCTCACACCTCCTCACTACAAACATCCAACACACAGTACAGTACACGCCATGCAACTGACTAAATGACGACATCAATACAGCCGATTCCCAATCTTTCTCTATGGTTCCAGCACACCCAACTGTTTCCCCCACCAGCCCACCCTACCGTCCAAAGGTCTGCTCCTCCATCCTCCCAGCTCTCTCTGTGATCAACAGCTCCCCCCACTGGCCTCATCCCTCGTTCCCACATTCACTGACATTATCTGCAATAGAAACTCTCATTACAAGAAGGCATCCAAACAAAAACAAAATCATTAAATCTGTCAATTTTTCAAATTTGTCAACCATCCCCTGTCAGCCACTCCCTCACCCTTCACTCCGTATAACACCACATCATAACCTGAAACTGGCCTTGCTGAATACTCACTCCCTCAACAATAAAAGCCTCATTCTCCATGACTTCATAACCGACACCAACCTGGACTTCCTATGTCTCACCGAAACCTGGCAAAAACCCTTGGACTATTTCTCACTAAACCAAACCACACCCACAGGATACACATACATGGACAAACCCCGCCCCGATGGACGGGGTGGTGGTGTTGCAGCCGTTTACAGGAAGGACATTAAAACTACCACCATTCCCATCCCTGCATTTGACTCATTTGAACACATTGCTTTCAAACTCTTTGGTCCCACTCCCCTAGTCACTGCTGTAATCTATCGCCCCCCCCCAAACCAAACCCTTCTTTTTTCAGTGATTTTCATGACTTTCTGACCCAACTCTGCTCCATCTCAACTTCTGTTCTGCTCCTTGGGGATTTTAACTTCCATGTCAACAACACTCAATGTAAAACTGCCAAAGAATCCCTGGACCTTCTTCACTGCCTCAACTTCACACAGCATGTCAACTTCCCCACTCACAGCCGCAGCCACATTCTGGACTTGGTCTGCTCCACTGGTCTCACAATCCATCAACTGTCAAGTCTCAACTTCAACATCTCCGACCATCTGGCTATAAACATGGACATTCTCATCCCTCTTCCCACTCCAAAACAAAAACGAAAGATCTCCTTCAGAAACATAAAATCAGTCGACCCCTCAGCTCTCTCAGCCTCTATTTCCAGCAAAATCTCTTCCTCCCTTCCCCCCCAATTTAATAACCCCTCTGAACTCATCACCTACTATAACAACACACTCTCCTTCTGTCCCATCAAAACTAAAACTGTCTCATTCACACACTCTGCAACCTGGTACACTCCCGAACTCCATAAAATGAAAACCCGTAAACGCCAGCTTGAAAGACTCCACAAGAAAACCGGTTTAAAAGTTCACTTCCAATCATACTCTGACTACCTCAAACAATACATGGAAGCTCTCAGCGCAGCCCGGTCCACCTATTACTCACACCTCATCCACTCAGGCTCATCCAACCCCAAGGCTCTCTTCTCTACAATAAACAAACTCCTCAAACCCAGTGACAACACCTCTCCCTCCTTCACAGCTGATAAATGCAATGCTTTTCTTTAATTCTTTCAATCAAAAATTGACACCATTTACAGCAGCTTCAACACTCTCACTGTCCCCTCTTCACCCCTACCCGCATCCCCTCGCCTCATCACCCAACCTCTGTCTCAGTTCTCCCGTTTTCCCAAATGAACTATCCATCATCACCTCTAGCATGAAGTCCTCCACCAGTACTCTCGACCCCATCCCATCCAGTCTCGTCAAAAACTGTCTCCCAGCCATCGCGCCACTCATAACCTCAATCATCAACTCCTCCCTCTGCTCTGGTTCAGTACCCAAAACTCTCAAACTGGCAGCCGTCACCCCTATCCTCAAGAAACCTGGACTCAATACGGACAGCATTTGCAACTTCCGCCCCATCTCCAACCTCCCTTCCTCTCAAAAATACTGGAACGTGTTGTCGCCTCCCAGATCAAATGCCACCTCTCCTCCAATAACCTATTTGACCCATTCCAGTCCGGCTTCCGTTCCCAGCACAGCACAGAAACAGCTTTCCTCAAAGTCACCAACGACCTCCTCCTCTCCTCAGACTCTGGCCTCCTCAACATCCTCATCCTCCTTGATCTCACTGCAGCCTTTGACACCATCAGCCACAGTATTCTTTTATCCCGCTTAGAGCACTCACTCAACATCATTGGCACTGCTCTTTCCTGGTTAAAATATCCGCCAGCATGGTCTCCATTTCCACTGTTATGCTGATGACATCCAGCTCTACATCTCCACCAATTCAATCACCACTGAAACCTGCTCTACCCTAATGAACTGCCTCAATGAAATAAAAACATGGATGCACACCAATTTCCTCTCTCTTAACTACACAAAATCGGACATAATAATCATCGGCCCTAAATCCCTCACCACTTCCATTCACAACTTCTCCTTCACAATAGACAACTCCACTCTCTCCCCCTCCCCTCATATCCGCAATCTTGGAGTCATCTTTGACAGCCAGCTCTCCTTTGATCACCACGTCACCCAGCTCACAAGAACCGCCTTCTTTCACCTTAAAAATATAGCCCACCTCCGTCCATTACTCTCATTTTCTGCCGCTGAAACACTAATCCATGCATTCATCACATCCAGACTCGACTATTGCAACAGCATCCATTACGGCACATCATCCAAAGTCCTTAATAAACTTCAATACATCCAAAACTCTGCTGCTCTCCTTACCCACACCCGAATACGCGAACACATCACCCCTGTCCTGCAAAATCTCCACTGGCTCCCTGTCCCTTACCGTATCCAATTCAAAATCCTTGTCCTCACACATAAAGCCCTTAACCACCAGGCCCCCTCCTACCTCACGGCTCTCCTTCACCCTCACACTCGTGCACGCAGCCTCCGTTCTTCAAAAGCCAACCTCCTATCTCCCCCTCTTAGAACCAAGCACCGAACCTGGGGGGACAGAGCCTTCTCCATAGCTGCCCCCCCTCCCTCTGGAACTCACTCCCCACACACATTCAACACTGCACCGACCCTCCTACTTTCAAATCACTTATCAAAACTCACCTCTTTAAACAAGCTTTTAATGTATGATTGTGATGTATTTTCTGTTTTCTGTTGTTTACCTTTATGTTGTTATCTTTATTGTTGTTATCTTTATGATTTGTGTGTAATGCTGCAATGTCCGTTAGTCTGTCCTTCTGTGCTATTCTTTATGTTTTAACCAAGTGTCTTTAAGTTTTTAAAAGCGCTTATAAATAAAATGCACTATTATTATTATTATTATTATGTCGATATCTTTCTTATATGTATCTTCAATCTTTATGGATAGAAATAGATATGCACACATTATTGCATTGAGCGGTTATAAAACACTTGTCATAAAGATTTATAATGAAGACAAGTTTTCTTTTTTTTACAGTTGAACAAAAGCATTTATGGAAATAAACAATTATTAAAAAACAATATAAAAATAAATAATGAACTTAAATTGAATAAACCTAGTTATATCAGCATATCAGAGATAAAATTAGTACCGATCGGCTGACAGATTTATTGATCGGGCTCGACTATAAAGCTCTCAATGACGACAGCCAGTAGGGGAGAGTGGGGTAACTTGTGCCAAGGGGCAAGTAGTGCCACCCCTGTTATCTAGAAAACCATAGAAGAAGTTGGTCATGTGACCACATATTTTTGAAGAGGCATCCATTTCACTCATCCTGCAAAGAAGGGAGACACATGGCTTGAGAGGTAAGCACATATAAGTTCCCAAAAAATGTTTTTGCCCTCCAAAGTAAAATTTCTATGATCAAGGTTTTTTGATTGCTGTGTTTGAACAATTATATACAACTTTGAAAACAGTTCACACATGTTTAAGTGCTTTAGTAAGCTACACCATGAGTCTATACAGTTAGCATGATGCTAGCTCAAAGCAGCTGGGGGATACATTTTTTCAAAATAATGGTTGGGTTAATTTGTGCAAGTGGCACAACTTAACTTATGATTATTTACTATATATTACTTTATTGTATTTTATTGTTATTGTACATTGTATTCTTACTTTCATTGTATTCTGACATTCTTAATTTTAGACCAAAATCCATCATGCCAAGTATGTTAAAACTGCTTTAAACTTCTCTGATCATCAGCACTACCTTTTATCTCATTTCAGGTACAGCTTCCCTCCACACATGATGTACAACATGGATGAAACTGGTGTGATGACAGTGTAGACACCCAAGCAGGTTGTCAGAGAGAAAGGGAAGAAACAAGTGGGTTCAGTAACATCTGCTGAAAGAGGAGAGCTTGTCACTGTGGCCTGTGCAATAAACGCCACTGGAAATGCAGTCCCACCCATGTTCTTTTTCAAGGACAGCCTTATGAACGCATCACCAGCAGGTTCCATTGGTCATTGTACAAAGTCTGGATGGATGAAGATGCCTTCCTCATCTTCCTGGAGCACGTCATCCGCCACACCAACTGCTCCACCGATCACCCAGTCCTGCTCATTCTGGACAACCATGAGTCTCACATCTCACTCAAGTCAGTGACAATTGCTAAAGAGAATGGGGTCATTATGCTCACCCTGCCACCTCACACCTCACACCTCACACCGCTTGCAACCATTAGACAAAACTGTCTATGGACCACTCAAAACCTACTATAACCGAGCGATGGATGGGTAGATGTGATCACATCCTGGGCGAACCGTATCGATCTACGAGGTCCCGGAACTTGTGAAGCAAGCGTTCCTCTCTGCAATGTCACCAACAAACATAACCTCAGGTTTCAGAGCAACGGGCATATACCCTTTCAACAGGGACATCTTCCCGGAAGAAGACTATGCACCATCAATGGTGACAGACAGGGCAAATCCAGAAGATGAACCCAGTGCCACTGCTGACCTGCCTGGAGAAGAGCCCTCCACCAGTGCAGCTGCTCACCTGCCTGGACCATCGCATGAGCCAACACATGTCACAGGTATTTAAAAAAAAGTCTGGTAGGCCAATAGTGGCGGTGCGCATAGTGGCGTGGCTCAGGCTTACCCTCCATCTGACCACGCAATCTTGTTGTTCCCTGTGTTCAATGACAATAAAAGTTCCTTTCCTTTCCTTGAAGCAGGTCCAGACCCAGGAGAGCCACCTGCCACTCTGCCAAATCCCGAGCATTCATCAAGTGACAAATCTGGTTCTTCTGCTCACTTGGGTTATGTGTTTCCAGAAGTCATTGTTCCCTTGCCAAAAGCCACAGAAAGAAAGAACAGAATTGTAAGAAAGAAAGTGAAAACAAGAATCGTGACCGACACACCTGAGAAGATGGAGTTGGAGAAGGCTAACAAAGAAAAAGAAGATAAAAAGGCTGAACAGGAAAAGAAAAGAATGAAAGAGAGAAGAAAAGGGCTCTGAAAGCTGCAAATCAAACCAAAACCAAGAAGGAAACGGTTGTGTACAGTAGCTCGGAAGAAAGCTCCACCACCGATGATGAGGCAGAAGATGGCCTGGAGAAGACACACGGCAGAGAAAAGGATGGGGCTGAAAAGAAGAAAAGGAGTGGAAATAAGAAGGGGGCTCTGAAAGGGTGAAAACCAACCAAACCCAAGAAGAAAGTGCTCTCCAGTAGCTCAGAAGAGAGTGACTTTCCGATTCCATTTAGCGATGCCACTGATTTTGAGAGTTCAGATATCCAGAGTGATGATGATGATGGTGACAAGGATCTGTCTGCTGGTGACTTTGTCATTGTGAAGTTTGCAGGTAAGAAATCAAAATCCTATAACTATGTTGGATTGGTAGAGAATGTTGGAGGTGACGAGATCAGTGCAAAGTTTCTGAAGGAAAGTTGTAAGAGGTCTGTTGATGGAAAGCCCATCTTCACATTTAGAGAGAATGGTGAAGTAGTCATCCCTAGGGGTGATATGCTCAAGAAACTATCCACACCACAGAAACTTGGTGGTACAGCCAGAAGGGAGCATAAGTTCACATTCCCCTGCAGCATTGTCAAGTGGGATGTTCAGTAGTAGGCTGAATCTGTGAAGAGATTCAGATGCAGATGATTTGCAGATGCTTAGGTGCTCATTTTGGAATTTGTATTTTGTTCTGAGTATGTGTTCATACTATGAGTATGTCTGATGTTGTTAAAACTTTAAATAAACGTTAAATAAGTAATTTTGTATTGAATTTGTCTTGCTTTTTTATAGCATTATCGTTTGTGAGATTAAAATGATCTGTTTTACTTAAATTATCAATGGCACAATTTACCCCAGTGTATTCTCTCTAATGGCACAACTTACCCCGCACTGGGGGCAAGTTGTGCCACAAAACCAGCTATATTTCTCAAACAGTTTATTTAATATCCAAAGTGATTGTTCCCAGGGATGCACAGCATCTTAAACTTAAATGTACATATTTTAGTTGGAGGCATTACTGTAATCCCCTTGCTTTAAAGGCACTTTTAAGTAAAAATTGGCACAACTTACCCCACTCTCCCCTATGCTACTAATGAACATGCTAATAAGCAACTGGCTAATGGTGATTATTGTGACCTTAATTTAAAGTGTTACCGATGCTACAAACCCCTAGTAGCTTTCTTTGCATTTTAATTTGGAACATTTCCTTTTTTTAGGTTTAAAGTGTGACCCTGAAACATTTAGAAGATCCTGTGTGTTGCTGCTCTGTTGAGTTAGTTTGTAAAGTTTGTAAAGTTAAACAAAAAGTGTTAACTAATTTTCAGTAGAAATAATAAAATAATCATTTAGAGCTAGCTAGACAATATCCTCTGGGCCCGTTTGTTCAAAGTTAATCCAACAGGATTAAAGTTATCAGATGAGTTTTTCATGAATCTAAAATCTGGTTGTTCAAAAAAACAAAACAAAAATAACGGGATAATTGTATAAGATCAGGTTTGGATAATCAAAGTTGTTCTTTCTTTTCTTTCCCATCAAATCAGAAACAACCATGTACAACAATGAAGAGATCCGGATCGTGATGGTGGGGAAGACCGGAGCTGGGAAGAGTGCAGCAGGAAACACCATCCTGGGACACAACTGCTTTAAATCTGTTTTCTCCCCTGAATCTGTGACCACAGACTGCGCTAAGTCGTATGGTGAGCTGGATAGACAGAAGGTTTCTGTCATCGACACTCCAGGTCTGTTTGACACCAATACAGATGAAGAGACGACACGTAAAAATATCTCCCAGTGTATGGCTTATGCTTCTCCTGGACCACATATCTTTCTGATTATCATCAAACTGGGCCGAATCACAGAAGAAGAAAAGAAGACGGTGGAGAAGATTCAGAAAATCTTTGGAAAGTCAGCAGACAAATACAGCATGGTTCTCTTTACCCATGGTGACCAGCTCAGTGGGACTATCGAGGAGTTCTTGAAGGAAAGCAAAGACCTGCAGAAGCTTGTGGCCAAATGTAACGACCAGTACCACGTCTTTGATAACAAGCTGTCTGATAGTTCTCAGACCAGAGAGCTCCTCAACAAGATCAGAAAAATAACAGAAAAGAACACAGGAAACCATTACACCACTGAGATGTTTCAGGAGGCAGAGAGGGCGATTGAAGAGGAGAAACAGAGAATCCTGAAAGAGAAAGAAGAGGAAATGAGGAAAGAGAGGAAGGAACTAATGAGGAAAATAGTGGAAAAATTTGAGCAAAGGATAAAGGAAGCAAAGGAAGACGCGGAGAAGGAGAAACAGCGAATCCTGAAAGAGACTGAAAAGCAAAAGTGCAAAGAGGAGGAACTAAAGAGGAAAATAAAAGAAAAACATGAGAAAGAACTAAAGGAAGCAGAGGAAGACACTAAGAAGGAGAAACAGCGAATCCAGAAAGAGAAAGAAGAGCAAAAGTGCAAATTGAAGGAGGAACTGGAGAGGGAAATAAAAGAAAAACATGAGAAAGAATTAAAAGAAGCGAAGGAAGAGATGGAAAAAGAACTAAAAGAGAAAATGAAAGCACTGGAGGAAGAACAGGAAGAGAAGGCTAGAAGAGAGGCAGAGAAGAGCTCTTCAGTGCTCGCAAAGGTTGGTCGTGGACTTGCAGCTGTGGGGGCTGCTGCGGCTAGGTTGGTTGCGGGGGCTGTGGCGATATTTAAAAAATAACTACAGCTCATTGTATCCGACCTGATGTACATTATAATGTCAGTGTTTGAAACTGATCTGTTGTTTCTCAAATTACTCTCGCCTTTTCTTTTAGACATATTTTGAACACAAAACTAAAAGACTAAAGGGACTTTCAGACAGGACGCGGTGGGGGCTACGCGCTGCTGTCAAGCCCATTCATTGTCTATGTGTAGCTCCGCACAAGAGCGTATCTGCACTCGGCCGAGCTGAGCTCAGCACAAGGTCTTGTTTGCCAGTTGGACCAATAGTATCTGTCTGCAGTCTGCAAGACCCAATTTCAAATATCTTTATTTATCTGTTAGGAACTTCAGTTGTGTAAAAAAAGCATCAGTGTGCATACAGCTCAGCACAACAAAACAAACAAACAAAAGAACACACACACATACAAGTGGCTGTATTAAAAGCATGACAATTGTTATGAAAGGTTAAAAGAGTGGTGTTAAAAATAAATGAACAAATGGATCAGCCATTCATGAGCCTGATGGATGTGGGCACGAAGCTTGAAATGGCTCTCTTAGTTCTGAAAGTTTGAGATCTGTGTCATCGGTATCTTCTGCCCACTACAATCTTCTAAATGGTGTTTGACCCTGCTGAGGCCGTGTGGCTCGCTTTACTTTGGTTCACCTTCTATTGTTATCATTTCAAACACATAAACTAAGAACATTTTTGAAACACATGACTCACATAAGTGCCTCCAACCAAAGCCGTAGTATCCTCAAAGGTATAGAGAAGAAGCCCTGCAGCCCGTCTATGCAGATGGTTGGATGGAGCGGAGAGGAAATTAAAAAAAGGACGATTTTTATTTTCATCCACAAAATGTCATCAAAAATATAAAAGTTGTGAAAGTATGTAATAAACCCAAGTAATTTCAGTAAGGAGACATAATTCTCTATGAATATTTAAAGTTGCATGTCACATATGATACTTATTTAAACTATCATCTCCGTGCTCTTAAATTACCCTTTTTTAACAGTTGGTAGATAAATAAAATAAACATTGTTTAAATAAAATCCACATCGTTTGCTTTAAAAGAAAGCTTATCAACTCTGGTAGTGAAATAACCCTGGTATTACTAACGTATATTTAACTAAATATAAGTTGTCTAAGGAAAATACTCTTGTGTCTGTACTCAAGCCGAACTTTTGCTTGTGCGCTCCCCTTCTGCTCTGCGCCCTACTCCATGGGAGTGCAGCACACACAGCTTCCTATCTGACAGGCAAGTGCAAACAAACAGCTTTAAGTCAAATCAGACACACAGGTGATGACAGGAAGTGACCAGAGGCAGTGCACCTTTTAAAAAAAGTAAAGTAAATATGTCGTCATCAACAACATCAACAGCTGCTCATGAGAGTTTGAATCAGAATCAAAACCATCCTAAAATCATCATCATCATCATCATCATCATCATCATCATCAAGGTGTCATGAAGAGCTTTTCTTAAAGGTACAAAGGGTCTCTGCAGATCGACATTAAATGGTTTTTATTTGACACATGAATTAAAAATATATATATAATACAAAATGGGTTTTAATCTCCTTGTGATCTTAAGTATCAAAGTTTTAAAGTCTGTAACAATGTTTTTACAATCAAATGTACTTTCATGAAATCAAAGTCGTCTTTTCAAGAAAGATTGAATCACAGCTGAGAGGATTTGTTTTCAGTGTCAGATGTTTCAGGTTGGCTTCTATGTTAGAAAAGTCCTTCAATTTTCTCTGAATACTTGTAAAGCAAACTGCATCATCCAAATGTGCTTTAATGTGATTTTTTGCTTCTTCATTTTAATAAAATGTTGTAACAGAGTCTGTAGTTTTATTTGTGAACAAAGAGAGACATGAGACTAGAATTCAGGTTGATCAAGAGGATTCAATAAATTACAAGTTTCACAGAGCAAAATAAAAAAACAGTTTTGATTTTTAATTGTATATATTTAGTTCATAAAGTAGAAAATCATACCATAACATATTTTAGACTCTTTAATGACAGAAGTAGATATGATAATGGGGACAGTAAGGGGTTAATAAATGATCCTCTATGATGAGTTGTTAATATTTGACTGATCAGTCTATTATCACACTGAGCTGTTACTGCTAATACTACACGTACTTTTACCATTATTACTGACACTGTAGCTTTAAATCTATTTTATTCATTGTTGTTGTTGTTGCTGTTTGTCTCTCCTTCTTCCTGAATCTCCCTCTATCCCACTTTCCAACCCGGACACAGTTTCATCAGACGGCTGTTCATCATGAGTCTGGATCTGCTCGAGGTTTCTTCCTCTTAAAATAAGTTTTTCCTCTCCACTGTAACTTTGCTAAATGTTGCTTAGTGCTCATGATGGATTAATGTTGGGTCTTTGTAACAATATATAACAAAGAGTAAGGTCTTAATCTGCTCTTTCTGTGAAGTGTCTTGAGATCACATTTATTATGAATTAGCGCCATACAAATAATGTCTGATTGATTAATCGTGTATGTGCACAATTTGATTTCACCGCTGCATTTGGGGCGCCAGGGAAAAACATCTGGATTCGGCCCCTGCTTGTTAAACTAACATTCTTGCAAGCAAGGACGCTGTTTCTGCTGAGAAAGTCACTGTCTGGTTTCATAGCTGCAAAAAGCATTTCCCATTCAGACAGACAATTTCTAACAAACATAGAGAAAACTGAAGATAGAAATGAAAGCTCATGGTCACAAATACATTACTGACAGTATTAACATGATTAAAATAGTAAAGTAAGAAGAAATTATGGTAAATCATTGAAAGTGGAAACATTAACCCTGTTAAAAAAAGCTTGTGTGTATTCTTTTAACCATTGTGTCATTGTTCTAATATGTGGTTTTAATAAATAGTCTACCATGAAGCTGCAGCCCAGTGTTATTTTGCAATATTACCACTATTTTACAAACAGCCCTCTCTCAGTTATAGACTCTATCTGTTGAGTGTGAATGAGTCAACTGGAGAGAAGTGAATGGAAAAGCAATTACTACACTAGTTACAGGCTTTTAAAAGTCTTTGTAAAATATACAAGAGTAGCCCTTTGTGTTTACACTGGAAAGGATATTTTTTTAGAGCACAAATGCAGTGACAATAATGTGGAAAATATGGAGGAGGATTAGTACTAGACAGAGAAATACATTTTTACCATTTATTAGAAGCATATATTAGAGCAATAACACAATGGTTAGTAGAACTGATCAGAATAAACACACCTGTTACGGTGGCCTGTAGTTAACAGAGGGATCATTTAGTGAATAATCTACATTAATGATTCCACTTGCCTTCATTTGCCATAATTTGTTCTTATTTGACTATTTTATTGGTGTTAATACTGTCAGTAATGTATTTGTGACCATGAGCTTTTAGCTTGTGAGTACCATGAGCGCCCTCTGCTGGGGCCCCTGCAGACATGCATGATGAGCCCCGTGCCCTGTTGCCAGGTTACACTCTCCGTGGTGAGTTGACTTATTAAGAGCTCCGCTAAAAAACGATGAAATAAGTCAGTTTTTCTGAGTAAAAGTAAGTTTTATTAATGTGCCATGTTTCAGAGATCCTCTTAAAATAATTATCAAAGACTTTTGTGGTGATATTGATTTGTTTTAGTTGAGTTATTTCAACTCTCCATGTTTTTATGCTTTTCTAGCTGAGTTTCAGCTTCATCATTTGTTGTCGTGGTGTAGCTGACTTCACCAACAGTTAGCTTGATTTTCTGCTCTCTGTTTAAGTAAATACTGAAGCTTACTACCAAAGAAGTGGCTGTGACAGAGACCTACATTTTATATACACGTTAAATGTTTGTCCTGTCTGCATTATCCTGTCCCTGTGTGAATGTTAGAGCTGTTAACCACCAAAGTGTCTGTGTGAGCGTGCTCATCTTTCTTCTGTTATTATCAGAATAAACGGCTGCTGGTGCCAAAAGTGAGTTTTTATACCTGGTTCATCACAACACAATGGTGAGTACACAACCAGTACACTTTGTATTTAAAAAAGAAAATAAAATAAAATAAACTACGTGCTTTTTGAAGAAATACACTTTTGTTGAAATGACGTACATCAGGGAGTAAGAACAACACAAACGAGCATCAAGAGGAGGAAACAATGTCAGTAAGAGATAATGAACGGCTTTAAGTCCGATCGGACACACAGGTGCTGACAGGAAGTGCACAGAGGCAAAGCACATTTTATTAAATCCATATATGTCGTCACGATCATCAAAAGCATCAACGTCTCCTGACACATCTCCTTTATGGTTTGTCTCACACGCAGCTCCAGGAATTCTTTCACTGATCCTGAAGAAAATACAAGAGTTTCTTTTCCATTCACCGTATTCTAAGATATTTCTCTAAACATTAACGACACCATCTGTGCTGTGCTTTGGTCAAAATAAAACATGAATCAAGCCCCAGAGCAGGTTTGTGACCCTGTATAAACCAGCTCTCTCAGAACGCTCTGTGTGGGTGGAGATATGAGGGGAGGGTATTGTTTTACCTGAATCCAACTTGTGATGTCACAAGGAGAGAAAATTTGAAACGGGGAATTTTTGTCTGTGTTTTAAGACTTATGCAGACCACAATCAAAGGACTGGATGGGTTTATTTCACATTTTGTGGGTCGGTAGACACTCAGGTTACCCAAGTGGATTTTTCATAATATGTCCCCTTCAAGAGGAAGAAACCTCGAGCAGATCCAGACTCATGATGAACAGCCGTCTGATGACACTGTGTCCAAGCTGGAAAGTGTGATAGAGGGAGATTCAGGAAGAAGAGAGACAAACAGAGCAACAACAACAACAATGAATAAAATAGATTTAAAGCTACAGTGTCAGTAATAATGGTAAAAGTATGTGTAGTATTAGCAGTAACAGCTCAGTGTGATAATAGACTGATCAGTCAAATATCAACAACTGTCATGATGAAACGAGGAGGACTACAATTCTTGAATTCACTTCGCAGACGCTTTTATCCAAAACGACGTACATCATAGAGTAAGTACAACACAAGCCATGTCAGTAAGATCAAACGATCAGCTTTGAGTCTGATTGGACACACAGGTGCTGACAGGAAGTGACCAGAGGCAAAGCACAACATTGAGGGCAGTTCTTGAGAGCTCTAATCAGTATAGAAACCATCTTATAAGTCATCGTTATCAAACAAACCATCATCATTACCATCATCATCATCAATAATATGGAGACCATCATCATTAAGTTAGTAGGTATTCATAAAGAGCTGGGTCTTTAGCTTTTTCTTAAAGGTGCAGAGGGACTCTGCAGATCACATGGAGTTTGGAAGTTCATTCCACCACCGGGGGGCGACATAGGAGAAGAGTCTAGTCAGAGACTTAGGACCCTGTTGTGAAGGTTGGATCAGACGCCTTTCATTGGCAGAGCGTAGTGGGGGGGAGGGAGTGTAGACCTGGATCAGAGAGTTAAAGTAAGGAGGAGACGTTTCTGTGTCTGTTTTGTAAGCGAGCAGCAGAGTTTTAAATTTGATGCGAGCAGTAACTGGGAGCCAGAGTAAGGAGATGAACAGCGGAGTGACATGTGCTCTTTAAGGAAGGTTGAAGACCAGTCGTGCTGCTGCATTTTGTATCATCTGCAGAGGTTTGCTAGTGCATGTAGGAAGACCTGCCAGTAGAGAATTGCAATAATCGATGCGTGATATCACAAGACTTATGACCAAGATGGCGGCGCGAGCGCATCGCGAGGCCCAGCGTCTCTCTCAGATTTGCAATTTTGCAGTAATTTTATTGTTAATTTCGGGTCTGTTCGCACAGAACAGCCTCGCCTTAACATCCTACACCCGACAGGAACTTTTGGATATTGGAATACACCTCCCTGACGATCTAATCAACAATCTTCAACTCATCCCTGAGATCGCCAAAACACCCGAGGCTACGCACTCTACCCGGCCGGGCGGAAGTGCTCGCAGGCAGCGTCAAGACCGCAAACAAAGGCGGGGGAAGTGCGGAGGTATAAGGGCTAAGCTAAAGCTAACACCGCACCGTCTCCCGTTACCCAGCATTTTCCTCGCTAATGTGCGGTCTTTGGTGAACAAAATGGACGAGTTACGACTTCGCATCATCCACAGCAAGAGAATTATGGACTGTAAT